GCCATCAGCCTTGGAGCAGCAAGTAATATGGAATGCTACAGGACGGTAGGAAATATGTGTATAATTAGAACCCGGGAAACTCATGGAAATTTTGAAATGCAGTCGGCACAATCTGCGATAGGGCAGCCTAAGAGTCTATTTTCGTACATAAATTACAAAACAACGACTCAGTATTTGATTCACAACCTAGTTATGGAAGGGAGTGGATTTGAAATGATAGAGGATGATCAGGAAAAAGCAGAGGCTATGACAAAATATTGTGAGGCATTTTTCATTCATGAGCCTTTTCTAGACGAAGAACTAGACCAAAAAGCAAAGTCAACAAAGCGTCTGCTTACCGTGGACTTTGTTCAAGACGATGTACTCAAGGCTCTTATTACCTTGGACACGAAAAGTCAACATGAACGGATGGACTATCATTATTATCATTATTATTAATGGATCTATTCAATATTATAGCTTTGATACAATATAGAATTCTCAGCACAGGTTATTTCAACAAGTTACTTGCGCAACAAAAAAAACAGTAACGAATACAAAAAAAAATGAAAAAAGGTTTTTTTTAAAAAGAAAGAAAAAAAACAAAAAAACCCGAAAAACTGTACAACGTTTAGAATTAAGGACATGTTAAGAATGCAAGTTATTGAATAGGTTAACTCTAACAACCTGTTCGTCACAGAGTACATTTGCTAGGTAAGGTATTATAGAACTTTTATACTTTTGCTTGCGTGCATGGATTTTAATGTAATTACGTCTCGTTCTACCAGAAGATATACAAGGAGAAAGATAAGAGTGAAGGGGATGGCTAGCATCTGATAAAATAACACCTGCCAGCAGTTTGCATGATGTCTATCCACAACCATATTAATTATGGCCTCGGAAGATTCACCACACATCTTGCCAACTGCCTTCAGCACTCTCCGCAATACAGCAAAGTCTTTTCTCAAAAGCCCGGGAAAGAATAATGGAGAACAGTAATGAATAATAGGTAATATGCAAGAATTGACAAATTGTAAGAGTAAATGACGAGTAATCCCAAGAGCATGCAGTCTCTTTATGTAGTAGGTCAGACGGAAAACCTTCTTTGATAACAATAAAACGTGGGAACACCAAGAGAGATCAGAGTAAAAGGTGACACCAAGATAATTGACCTTCGACACCGTGTTTATCAAAGAGTCACTGATGGTACAAGCATTATGGGATCTCAAAATAGTGTTTATATTCCGTTCATGTCTCATACTAAAGTTAACAGCTTGACATTTAGACGGATTAAGTATGAGACCGTTACCAACAGACCAACAATCGGTACGAGACAAAAACTCATTCATTTCTATTGGATGTAAAGAGGAAGAGATAGGCATACATACAGTAAGGTCATTCGCATATTTCACAAAAGTGTTTATTGTGAAAGATGGCAGATCATGCAGAAAAAAAGAGAATAGAAAAGGTGAAAGAACAGCTCTATGTGATACACCTTCGTGAGACAGTAGAGACTCTGAACACTTTACTCCAAACACAGTGTACTGTTCCCTTCCAGAGAGGTAGGAACATAGCCATTTGGTTATCCAGCTGTCATTGTTGACGCTGATTAACTTGTTAAGTAGACGTTTTCTCGGTATAGAGTCAAAAGCTGAAGTATAGTCCAGAAAAGCACATCGTACTTCTTACTCTTTTCTAAATTGAACACTATGTTGTGATGCAGAACAGCAACAGCATCTAAAGTGCTTCTTTTGCGTCTGTAAGCAAACTGATATGGATCAGTATGCTCTTTTATCACAGGCTGAAGTGGAAGTATTATTAATTTTTCCATTGTTTTGAGGGAGGATGAAGTTATTGCAATAGGTCTAAATTTTACATTCTTATCACCAGATGCTTTCTTGGGTAGAGGAATTATCTCCGTCTTTCTCCACACTTTCGGTATGAGATTAGATGAGGAGGATTTGTTAAAGATAGTTGTGAACGGATAACATAGGACGTCAGCACACTTTTTATAAAGGATGTTTGGGATACCATCATGTTCCAAACATCGAGATGAATTAAGTGACTGGAGACATCTTCGTACATCAGTCTCAGTGAAAGTAGGAACACAGCTATTATTTAAACCCGTGGATAGATGGAGCATCACGCCAGATGACTGACGCACAAACGACTTGTGTAAGTCACAAACATTCACCTGGTTATCGCTTCTAAACTGTCTGTCACCTGTTAGTTCTTTAAAGAGTTTCCACATACTTGAAGAATTTTTGCAAGACAAGAGTTTTTGAGTAAACATACAGTTGAGACGTCTAATCTCTATGTTTATCAGACCATTTAGCTTACGAACTTCATTCGAGTTCTTCTCCTTGTACATTCTTTCTTTATCTTTCCATAGTCGTTTTAGTTGTGTAGATGTAAGTCGATCAAAACTTACAAAAATGGTTTCAGTGGGACAACAAATATCAAAACAGAATTTAAGGTAACAAGTGATAACATCAGTAGTGTTTTCGAGTGAGTCATCTGTAAATAATTCCCAGTTAGTCGTATGAAACATGTTTTTCAGATTTCGGATATTTTCTTCTGAGTAATTCCTATATTTGACTTTCTTGGTTTGATGTAAGAGTGTACTCTTCCCATGCTTCCCATATACTTTAGGTAGAACACGAATTATACAGTGATCTGAGCTAGATAATGGAGCAAGTTTACGAGTCGCATATATACCCATATCATTAATGAAAACGAAGTCTAAATGAGCATCCAAACGAGCAGGAAAATCTACTACAGTTTGGTGACCTAGTGACGTAAGGAAGCTACAGTCACATGAATTGAAATCACCACATACAACTGAAAGTGAATCACTGAAGGTAGTAACAGCCAACTCAGTGAATTCATCAGCGAAAACAGATATTGCAGATGATGTGCAATCTGGAGTCACGTAGATATTGGTAACATAAACATATTTGTATTTATTCAGATGTTCTGGACGACATCTTAGAGTTAGACAGTCGTTCAAGTCATTTGACAACTTAAAACACACAAACGAAGATCGACACCAGTTTATGTTTGCAAACGTAGATACACCGCCACTACACCTCTTTTTATTGTTTGATCGATCCTGACGATAAATTATGAAATCACCAAGATTCTTGAATTGTGATGACACCACAATAACGATACATATTTTGACTTAGTAGGAACTGCAGATAGTCCACTTTGTTGATTAGTGATCGACAGTTGGAATTTAGCAGCTCTGGAATCAACATACGATTAACATTCATTCTCTTTAACGCATATTGCCAACCACCACGATGTCTTTTAAAGTACTTTTTTGTAACCTGTGCAGCGAAAGGTCGTAGGCTTTTCATAAAAGCGCCTGAATAGGTTATGCGACTAATGGACATAATTATAATTTAAGACAAACGAAAAAACCCAGATAACTTGTTGAAATAGTCAGATGGCAGAAACAGGTAGCTCAGATATTTAAGCAGGCCGCCAAAATCCCGAGACATATTGCATAGCATATTTCTGCCCCACTAACTGTGATATTCAAAGTGTCAGTTGGACGGCTGCAATTAAACGCAACTCAATACATATTACTTACGGGCTGGAAGGATGCAGTCGTCACTCCAATACATAAAACAGGACCAAGACAACTTCCATGGAACCACAGATCTGTCAGCCCGGTTAGCGTCGCAATTAAAATACTGGAAAGAATTGTCGAAAAGACAATAATAACATCTGTGGATACCAACAACTTGTTTAACAGCGAACAACATGGTTTCGGAAAACGTTTATCTTGCACAACAAACCTCCTTATAACAAGGGAGAAATGGACAAAGGCTCTGGACAATGGAAAACCAGTAGATATTGTCTAAAGCATTTGAAAAAGTGCCGACAGACAGACTTCTAATGAAGCTAGAAAATGTTGGTATTGCAGGAAATCCACTACAATGACTTAAGGATTTTCTAGTAGGTCGTAGACAGAATGTAAGAATAAATTCAAGGCGCTCTACCTGGAGACCAATACTTAGTGGAGTACCTCAACGTTCTGTACTAGGCCTTTTATTTTTTTATATTGTATATAAATGATCTCCCAAGTATAGTTTAGTCGCCAATGTTATTGCACGTTGACGATGTAAAAATCTGGTGCTTACGCACTTCAGGCAGACCTACATATTGTGGTTAACTGGTCTACAGAGTGGCTGATGTCTATCAACACGGAGAATGGTGTCTACATGCACATTGGGGATACAAAGGTGATTTGTTACAGCATAAGGGAAGTGCCTGTACCGGTGTTCTGGTCTCACAAGGATCTTCGGGTGACAGTGAGTCATGATTTTCAGACCACGGCCCACTGTCTAGAGGTCACAGCTTAAAAGGTTTAAAACTATATAGGCTTCATCAAGTTAGCTACTACAACGTTCACTGCAGTATACACAACCAGAGTGAGAATCAAGCTCGAAAACTGGATTCGGGCTAAAAGCACCTCTTCAAAGGTGACTCGAACATCCTATAAAAAGAGTGGAGACAGCCACCCGTGCAACTCCAGAACTCTGGGGTTTACCACATGAAGGGTGGCTTGAAAACCTAGACCTCTTTACTCTATCCTACTTCAGATTGGGAGGTCATCACTTCTGGGAACAGAGAATTTAGGAGGACACTCCAAAAAAGTTCATAAGCCGAGAACAAATTACTTGTCAGCTGACTATCGACTTTCCCATCGAATCATCAACGAGTGGAATTCACTACCTCAGCACGCGGTTGAGGCTCCATCCGTCGACTCTTTCAAAAGAAAGTTGGATCAACTGAGAGACCACCATTGCCAGGACTAACATAGGCCATCGAGCTTCCTGTCCTTCCCAAACTGAAAACTGAAACTGTTAGCCGAAGCAGTGATGTCCGCACCTTACATTGACTCATTCGAGAGAAGACTAGAAGCCCAACGAGACACACTAAGAAAGGAATAATATAGGCCGTAATTTTTCTGTCCATACTACACAAGCTTAATCTATTGGACGTATATGCAAACTTACGAGCGTTTTTGAAACAGTTTGGTACTGGCTACAGTAAACCTTCAACAATCAAATGAGTTCGGTCGTTAGAAGAGCTTCTCATGCTGGTAGTTGGTATTCTTCAGACCGTATGAAATCGTTTTCTGTTAAAGTTTCTTGATGGCGTTCAGGTACTAAGCTTAACAACCAGTTGCAGAAATGGTTGTCTGAAGTAACTGTTGATCGACAACCAGCCCGTGCTATCATTTCACCGTATATGAACCACTTATTTTGACGTGATATATTATAGACATGCGGGTTATGACTATTCGGGGCCTTGTGCTGCGTTTGCGTACAAACAAATAGACCCTCGTCACATGTAAACTGCATATATACAAATAGCTTTGCCCAGTAAACGTATTTTCGTATTAGGTCCTGCACATTATATGAGCCTCAGAGGAAAATGCGCTCTATCCACAGCGGACTTCTTCGAGACTCCATTGTATTCCTTGTCAATTGGTAGAGATGGTAAGTAAATACTTTCAGGGCTGTGTACCAATTTCTCTTTTAGTATACCGAGACCTCGAAAAAACAGGAGAGTTTGTTAGTCTCACTTTGGACAAAGACGAAGAAGAGCATTCCATAGAAATGCAAATGCCATATATAGCAAAAATGATGGAAGGGTAACTTCCCGTTAAATCTTTATTTAGTCCATATTAATTTTTAAGTAAATATATAGCCAAGGTATTTTGTAAATAGTTATTAAATTGTTGTCTCTTGCTGTTATAAAGGCTTATAATGAACTGAATGTAGAAACGAATTATTATTACTAGGAGTTTGAGTCAAAACATTGGAGAACGGTAAAGCCAATGGTAAGTGTACATAATAAAAACAATGTCGTGATTCCTCATGTAGTCAATTTTCGAACAGCCAGTCATAAAAATTGTTGGCTTAGCTTATGGGTTTTTGGGAAGTTTCACCATTAATGAGACTTGCAAGGTGTATTCGGCCATAGGGGCATATTTTTATTAGTCTTACTTTTATTTAAGAGTATGGAGTCCGAATACTACTAGTCGTTTAGTCCTTGAGAAAGTCACCATGTTGACCAGTTTGGCTGTATGTTTTTGCACTAAATCCCTTCCTGTTTTTCATACAAAACTGTAAATATAAACCCGTTTTACAAATTGCTTTGTAACTATAACGATCACAGTCTCATGACCAAAACCACGTGTTAAAATACATGTGGGGGCTAAGCGTTCTAAATTATGTCAATCTGTATTCCATTTTGCTCACATCTGATTGACTCGGTTGGTGTAGACCTTCATAATCTTTAGGCGCTTAGTGCCGTTGATTGTAATCCAAATATTTTCGCTGGCAGGAAAATGTTGGCAAATATTTTTTAGAGGTTCGGGATCAATTTTAGTTTTAGTAAAGTTCTAAAAGTGCAAACTAAAGATGTCCATAATAATAGCATTATGTTTAAAACAAGTTAATTCCCACCAACTTTGTGCTATGGACTTCAGTTGCCTTTTTAGGTGTTATAATTGTTATCTTCCTATCCGCTTGCCTTAATTTTGAGTTCCTATTATGCATGGGACTTGTTACCCTAACTTTCATCTTATAACTTTCTTCGTATCTCCACACTAAGTTCATGCAAATGTTGACCAAATTAAATGTAAATACAGTTGTGCGAATGTTTGTCGAAATAAATTTAAATGTTTTTCTTACTCCGAATGACTTAAACATATTTTATTTAAAACCTCCACTACACTGCACTTTGCAACATACAGTGCTGAAACGAATTTTGAAGACAATCAAAATAAACTCTAATAGAAAATCTCGGTACACTGCAAGTTATCGCGTGCCGTTCAGTTTTTGGTATCTTTATTCGTCGTGTTCATTTGTACATACATACCTTCAGTTTCACCAACTTAATATTATAAAACACCCAACAGACCAGAACTCATGTCATTTACAAAAAACACTTTATATACTGGTTTATACGTCAATTTTACTCAGATTCAGACTGTTATGCTGTCGTTTCTTTCGAAATCCTATTTTATTTGGTGTTGGTGTTCTAGTTACCAAGGCAAATTCTCTGTAGTACCAATTTTGGTAGGATATTTGACTCCAGAAAGGGAAGCAGTTTATGGTCAGATTTTCTCTCGATACCTATCAAATCCCGAGAACTTCTTCGTGATATCTTCTGATTTTTGTCACTGGGGTATGTTAAATTTTGCCGTATTTTAGTGTTCTTAGGTATTTTGCTACTTTAATGCCTAACTAAGTATTATTGTTGGTATTATTAATGTAACTATCCTATAGAAAATACTTTAAGCTTTCATTAATTGAGTGTTAGAATGAGATTTTTAAGTATGTATGTGACACTAATCACGAAACCGTGATGTCTCACTAGACTGTTTCACTTGAGACTCAGAACCCCTGTAAGACCTGTTGTTTGAAGGCATGTTAGGCAAAGCTTTGTCAGTTTCAAAACGATTTAGCACAGTATGTATTTCCTGTCAAGATTTTCGACTAGCATAACTACCAATTTGTTTTTTTAGTTAAGAAGCCCACTACTTGTGAATTCTAAACAAGTGTCATTTTACTGCACAGGTTATGTAGACGGGCGTAAAGTAGCGTACTAGTAGCAGGCCAATTTTCGTCTAAATAGTGTCATTAATTACGTCATTCCCTCGACAAGTTCGTGGACTACAATACGTATTGTACACATTGATGTTGTGATTCCTTTCGATTCGCATAGGGGAATTTAGGTATCTCTTGGTATCATCAGTTTTAGTGCAAAAGGCTGGGTGTACAATAGTGCAACTTAGGGAGTTCCTATAATTTGTGAAATTTAGTCTTTCAGCTTAAAATGTTCTGTAGCTTTTTAGTTTGCTCGGCTTTACCACTAGCAAATACATCGTGTCCAGTTCCATCATTTTAAAAGTGTTGTTGATATCTAAAAATGCTTTGAGATGATAAAGACCATATTGTGAGTAGGGTCATCTTCGGATACTAGTTTCCGTGAGGTTCATGTTGGGGACGAAACCTGGTTAAAAGGAAGTACGTATTTAGTCTGCTGGTGATATGAAACCACATGACAAAAGTCACGTTGTGCTACCATTTGTTAGCAAGCCGCAACCCCAGGACCAGTGCCTTACAAATTTTTTCATTCGGTAGGTAGAACACTGAAGAACTCTTAAACTGACCAGCCCCACTGAATTCACCGCACATAAAAGCATTACACATATACCTTCCTATAGCTGTCACTTCACTAACGATCGAAGAAATCAGTATGGCCACTAGACAAATCAGGAGTGGAAAGACGGTATCTGACAATACACAAGCTCAAGCACTGAAATCAGACATAAAAGCAACTGCAAACATGCTCCACGCCCTTCTCAGGAAGATTCGGAAGGAACAAGTGCCGACAAACTGGAAAGAAGGACACCTTATCAAGATACAAAGAAAGATCTCAGAAACTGAAATTTGCAGAGGCATTACACTATTATCAGCACCAGGGAGTTTTCAACAGAGTGTTGCTGAACGGGATGAAAGATTCGGTGTACGCCGAGATTCGAGATCAACAGGCCGGATTCCGTAAGGATCAGTCATACACAGACCATACTGTGACATTACGGATCATTGTTGATCAATTGACTGCATGGAATTTGTCACTATACATCAACTTCCTTGACTATGAGAATGCGTTTGACAGCGTGGATAGGATATTATGAAGTCTTCTTCGACGCTATGGTGTACCTGAAAAGGTCATCAACATCATTTGGGATTCACATGATGGACTACACTGGAAATTTGTGGGTGGGAGGCAGCTGACAGACGCTTTCCAAGTGGAGGCCGTTGTCAGACAAAAATACTTACTCTCTCTCCCTTTCTTCTGGTAATTGACTGGATTATGAAAGCCTCCACATGTCAGGGGAAGCACGAAATCCAATGTACAGCTTGCGTGCACCTAGATGATTTGGACTTTTCAGATGACCCAGCCCTTTTACCCCACACACGCGAACAAATACAGGTCAAGACAAACTGTGTAGCAGCAGTCCATTAGTACGCCTCAACATACACAAGGGAAAAACCAAGATCCTTAAACACAACACAAAGAACACCAACTCAACCATACTCGATAGAAACTCTGGAAGATGTGTAGACCTTCGCGTAGCTGGACAGCATCATCGATAAACGAGGGGGATCTGATGCAAATGCAAAGACAAGGATTGACAAAGTAAGGGCCGCATTCCCACAGTTGAAGAACATATGGAAATCAGAACAACTCAACCAATATCAAAGTCAGAATCTTCAATACGAGCGTCAAGACAGTTCTACTGTACGGAGTTGAAACTCAGAGAACTACCACAATTATCATCAAAAAAGTACAAGTATTTTAAGCAGTTGTCTAGAAGATAAAGACCAAGGAGCTCATTGTGCCGAGAATCGGAAGCATGCATCAAGAGAATGAATAGCAACTGAAAAGGACTGTTCAAGATAGAGTTCGGTGAAGAATCCTTGTGGGCGGCCTACGCTCCTTCACGACGGGTAACAGGTGTAAGTAAATAAGAATAGAAAAATTAACAAACACGCCTCTGTCATGAAAAGCACGAATACGTAGTTTAAAGATGAGTTACACATCTCAGTCAAGCCAGTTCACTTACTGATTTCCCTGATTGATTAACTGTTAGTTCAATTCACTCAAGTTTGGGTCGTGTAGTAAGAACACAAAGATTATCAGAACTATGTGATACATTGGCGCAATACATTTTGGACAATCTGACCAAAAATATACTTCTTAAGAACATTTATACACAAAAATGAAATGTCGACTAGACAAGTGGAGGGTAAGAGGAAACAAATATAGTAAGAAAATAATGTTAAGAACAATATGAAACTCACCGCGCTGTATAATAAACTAGTATTAACAAGGTGGGTTTAAGGTTAAAATAAAGGTTCGGATTTTCATACAGCTTCGATAAGCTTTAGTAGTTGACCTATTATGTCTGTGTATAAATGTTCTTAACAAGTATGTGTGGTGATAAATCAGTCTTGCTAAAAATCACCTCAACCTCGGAATAAAAATTAGTGGCAACTCTATTTGTAGTTTCCTATGTTCGGAAACAGCGGTCTCCTTTCATAAGAAATGACAATTTCAAGATTGTTGTCTTATTTGGATTCTATCTCTTACTATCCTCACCTATTGGTGTTATCATGTGGTTCTCTTAAGGAAGCACTGCACTTGATGCTACACAGATAGATAAATTGGATCGATGACTCATTTTTCAGATACTACTTTTTGCCACAACGAATAGTAGTATCTTAGACCATCAAACAGGTCCTAATTTGTTTGTATCTTAAATTCAAAGTAATCATGTAGTATAGCTGGTTGTTACTGCATTTCTCGAAATCTTTACATCTGTAATAGATTTTAAAGTAACTTTTATAGGCATGTTTTAACTGAAATCAAGCAATGTGATGAGAAACAATCTAACATGAATATAGAGTGATTTCTCCAGACAATCGTTAAGTACTAATTTGTTTCTTACCTGCAGGAAAAAGGTTTCAGTACACCTACTATGATCAAAGTAAAGGAGCAATCTGGCAATCCATACAAGCACTTGATGAAACGGTAAGTTACCTATCTTTTAAGATTGTATGAGTAAATTAATGACTTAACGTTGCCGGTAACAACGTCAAGTAATGACAGTTGGGTAGATTCATGCAAGTAACGTTCACTAAATCAATCTTCATCCACCCTATTCTTTAGGCCAGTTTCTCGTTATATGCATTTACAAAACGCGAAATATGGCATCAGACACCTTTTTCGATCTCTACTTACATATCCAGTTATATGCAACGTCCGGCCATTGCAGTCCGCATACTGAAGTTTGAAAGGGGGTTATCTAGACACGCAATTATTTGGTATAACGATACAAACGACACCATTAAACTAACTAATTTCTCTTTAAATTCGAGGTGGTGTTGGAAAAGTAGATTTTGCTTTACTTTACAGGGTACTATTACATGTATTTTCTTACCATTACTTAATAATTGGATTATGTTTTCGTATTCTGTATTCTAAGCTTCTGATAGATTCAAGTTGTTATTATTATTCCTCTCTTTTTTCAAGTTGGTAAACTATGATTTTCTACCTATAGTTTTTTTGCATCTACTAATGCGTGTATGTAAACTGATGGTTGGTTTACATATAGTAGAGGGTTGTCTGCTTATTGTGTTCTACGGATTCAATAATGGGAAATTGTGCTTCTTAGGCCAACAGGCGTTAAGAATTATCTAAGTCACTACCTCAAGGTTAATTGTTGACAGTCAGTATTATTGGTTAAACCTTATCTTTGATCTATGAGCGAAAAGTAAACTCGGTCTCCCAAATAGTAAACCGGCTTACATTGTTGGATTCGTGTCTAGTGATTCTGGTCAAGAGCAATCAAGGATGCAACACTTCACCGTACCACTAGCAGGAAAAAAGCATTCACACCGTCCCAATCACATTGGCAGATCCAGGTTTAAAATCCTTGTCCAAAAGTATGTATAACATCAATAGATTGCCATTAATTATATGATAGAGTCAGAGGTTGTGGTTGCCACAAATGATTCGGCTTTACTCTGAGAAGACCTTAGCTACATGATAATTTTCATTACTATCCAAAACTAATATCTAGACTTCTTTTTGTTTTACTGTCGAAGCACAATTTTCTACCGTTGCCAACAATATGACTCCCATAGACCCTTTAGTTTTTTACTGTCCTTCAATACATTAACAAATTCGGCTCATTTAGTGTTACCTGGAATGATAATAATCTAGTCTTATTCTGTAGTTATCTGAAAACATTTCTGCCATAGAGATGCTGTGTGGTCTCGTTGATACCTAGACCTCCAACCTAAAAATCATCTAACAATGCAAATCATTTTTCTATCCATCACATCTGTCGTAGGCAAGATGATGGTTTGTAAATGACTCATCATAATACGCAAATCAATACCTGGCACATTTGTATATTGATTCAACTTGTCACCCCCCTTCATTGGCATAGCGAGATAAAATTGTCAAGACGAATTCCAGAGTAACAGATATAGCAAGTATGAGTGGTTATAAGAAAGATTAAGGGTTGAAGATACGATACGTGAATAAATATCGGCCAGTGGAATAAAAAGATTTACCAGGTAATTTAGAAACTTGAAATCTAAGGAAAAACAGTGAACGGATTGTATACCATTGTCAATAATTTTGAATCCCTAACCATAAGTTACGATAATCACGCGGACCCCAACCGGGCAGTCTGCATCTACTTACACTAGTCAGTGTACTGATGACATGTCCTGGTCCTTAGATTTCTTTGAACCTACTTCTACCCCCGCTATCATCGCAAGTCGGGGCAATCAATGGATAGGTGTACGTAATAGTTGTTCTGTCTCGCTCAATGGAGATTCACTTTACCATTCTTACCTGGTATTTTCAAAATTGCTAATTCGATGGTTCCAAAATATAAGAATGATGCCTCGAATACACTTATGATTAAATACTGTAAAACCTTCAGATATCCTTTGCGTTTAAAGGTCACTTTCCTCAGCCATAAAGTAGCGCAGAGCGAACTGCCATACAGTAAACCCGTTTTTTGGTTGACAGATATCTCGTCTGTGCGAGAAGTGACGCAAGCTGGCAAACGCCAGTTCATTAAATTTAAACTGATTCAGTGCGTTGATTCTTCCATTTCGGTGGAGTTCTAGATGGTTCGCTTCCTGATGAACTGTGACTGAGAAAGCAGAAGCCCATATGGTATGGACCATCCTTACATAGGTGATAGTGTCAATAAGACACTCCGATTTCTACTAAAAACGAGCGAATTGCACAGCAGTTTGTCTGTTGCGTCATCTAAGAACTAACTTCAAGATGTGTATTTTTAAGAGTAATTAAATGCATTATTTTTTGTGGCTCTCGATCCTTTAAACTTTTAGGGGATGGAGTTAATTGAGCGACTTGCTCCTTCTGAATTTACAAGTTACTTGGAGCAATATGGTAACACCATATGCGGACGACACCCGATAGGCGTATTACTGCAAATCGTTACGTATTTACGCAGGAATATGCCCAATAACAATTTTAACATGAAGTTTGTACGATATGCCCAATCAGAACACTGTAATAATATGAACCAATCATCTGTCAGTTATGCAGCTGGTGTGCTACAAATATCTTGATATAAGTAACTTTTCCTGGATATTATAATATGTGTATCGATGTTTACATTAAAGTAAAAAGTCACAACTTTAGGGATTGTCAATTTTACTTCAATATATAACAAACTTTTTCTTACGGATCCTTTTATATATTTACTCACGACTGACTAGAGCACATGCAGTGTAACTCACTGATGAATCTTCCATTGACTGGCAGCGGTTGGATTGTGTATAGTTTAGGATTTTGAGTTCCAGGTTAAACGGTTGCTTCTGTCGAATACGGTCAATCATAAATAAGAACACGCCTATACTTCTCCTGCCACATATAGTGTTCCTGTACTCTTCAAGATATTTTATGAATGATTTCGGTTTCAGGCTTCGAATCGCATTCAAACCCTGTGAAATATAACATTAGATTTATATATAGCTGAGAGGGATACAGTGTGAAAATAAAAATACTGCAGCCACTTACAAGGTGATCGAGTTTCTCAATAGACTGCCATATCGCACCATCGGATTTATTGTAATACTGATATCGAAATCGTTTCCCTGGAAATAAATCATACGAGTGATTAGTTTACTGACTGTGGGTATCATTTTGAATCATACTAATCATCACTGAGAGTGAATTTTGTGACTTGTTGTTTGACCATGCGTATATATTCCTGACAATAAGCGCGTAAAACGAGCACTTATGATGCCCTCGTATATTTATTTAAAAGATTCTAGCATAAAATGTACATTTAAACAAGGCTAGATAATTACCGAAGTATTATAAATACTGCTTGGAAAAGTGTTTAGACGGCCATAGAATTTCGTAACCAAGGTTAACATGATGAATCATTAACGATTATTTAGAACAACGGACGAAACTACGTAAAGGAATACCGCAAGTTACCATCATTCTCAGCCAAATTAACCATTATGTATACTGCTTCAAATAAACACAAAAATATTGCGTGGAAAATGTAACAAACCCCAATGACAGAAATCAGAAGATATCACAAAGAGATTCTTCTCATCTAGCATATAGCTCGATAGGAGGTTCCCGAAGAATTCTTGTTTTTCGAATGATAAGCAACCGACAACTATGGGGACTATGGAGTACTGATCTTTCCTACTTCAAAGCAAGAATAAAAGTAGACATTATTTGTATTAAACTCCAAGATGTTGGTAAAGAAATGCGAATCACATCAAGATACTTACCAAACTGTAATCTGGACACGATAACATGTCTCATAACCATTGGTTTCAGTGTTAAACTAGGATGTCACCGATTATCACAAATAATTGTCACACTAATTTGACTATTTAGTATTAGAATGTAGGAAAGCGCATTGTCACCAAAACACTGCGTATTTCCTACTAGTATGATTAATTTTTAAGTTTACAGGATATTATGTCTGCTGTCACTAAGTCGTTTACGGCCTAATATTTCTGCGTACCACCTGGGCGGTTTCGAAATCAAAATATTTCGATAGAAACGAAAAAGCATTTCAAAAGCGGAAAGCTTAGTTAACCAGTTATGCCGTCTAAAAGTGACTATCATTTATAAAAGAAACTGTCACTGAATACAAATCAATACAACGAAGATACATCGAAAATGAAATAACAAACTTCCTACTGAATAAAATTGGGTGGAAGTTTGCTTTCAACCAATTTATGAGTTTTAAAACTGATTATCTCATACTAAAAGTATTTGCGGATTTCGTATCCCCAACGCAAAATAAAGGAATATCCGTGAATATGAATGTGGACTGTGGTCTTCAGGAGTGTTTCTTGTATAAATTACGGAGGATCTACTACTTGACGTATCCGTTGTGGACAAGTTTCATATAAACCACGTGGATAAAGGCTTGGTATGTCTTATGATCTCGCTAATTTGTTAAAGGTATTTAAGTCATTAATAGTCTAGAAAACCACCACACGGGAAAGCTTACCGTTTCATGATGTGAGCAATATATGGTAACTGCATTTCTACAGAATGTTCAGCTTCGTCCTGACTCTTTTCGAGAACGCTGAAGCAGTTGAACATTTTAAGGCTGTTGTATACTGAAAAAGGTATTAAATTAACTCCGCTTACCATTGGTATTAATCTTTAAGTTATAAAACGGAGTTTCATATTCAGATACAGAAGTCAGAGCACATGTATTCCCAATATCTAAACGATGTGAGGGACCTATGATGAAAATACATTCTCTTTGAAGAAACATTTAACTAAAGCACCACCTACATTTTGTCAGGATTTATTAGACGGTATGCGTGGGCCGCACATAAACCAGAATGTCGGTAACCTGCATGACTTGATACTTTTATTAGTAAGAATAATATCATACGGTACTATAATTGCCCGGACTGAATTTGCATTTGGGACGTTCTTTTCACAACTTTCCAACCAAGTGTTTAACTGTGATGACAACTCTGTTCCTAATTATGATTAGTAATTGTCTTGCTAATAGTCGCTCAACTGTCTGCAGTATACCAGCTTCCAGCATGTGAACTAACGCGGACGGAACTGAGAGTCGTCTCCATTCAGTGCAAATTGTTCATAAACTTCAAATACTATCTCGTATTGACGTACTTAAACCTAAAGCATTAAAGCTTCCGTAAAAGATAGCAAAAGCCAAAGGTTGGGTGGAAAAATGGGAAACCAGTTGTTATATCAGGAGAAAAACCGACCAGTACAATTCACAATGCTTGATAATGAGATGCGCACTAGTTAGGTAAGCTGGTGACAAACATTTGTAAGGTCAGTACGTTAGTGAAAAAAAAACATGCACTACTACGTATCATCCATGGATCATAGGAACAGTTACTATTTGTATCGCGCTTGGTAGCTACATTGAAATTTACGGACACGTGCTAACTGTACTGTCGTCAGTAATGAGAGTACACTTTGGCGGCCGACTTCGTCTTTGTTAACCTGCCGTAGCCACCTCTGAGACTTCAGTACTGAAGACTCATGCTACGTAGCATGAACGATTTTGTAAAAGAAGAAAAGTTGTTAACTTTTCCTGCCTTAGTAGCACGCACTATAAAAGCCTGTCTATAGACAGGCTTTTATACAGTTATAACTGTATCTCGACGTACATTACACTAGTTTAGACCTTCTCCACATAATTCTTAATCTTACTAAGGGTTAGTTGTTTTACTCACTTACTGGCGTTCACTCACAACCATTAATGGTTGAATTCAAGTGGTAGCTTCCGGCTTTGGTATTGTTTAGCTATAAATCATGTAGTGTCTTCCACTCACTCAATTTTATTTACATCCTTGCTATACTAAGCTGATGTATGTTCAAAAGAACTTTCAGCTAGACTCATCTGTGCACTATTATAATAGTATCCTTAAAAGGATACAAGTTGTAAGGAACTCATGAAAGCACAACGAAATTATCAGAGATTCCACCATATATGACTTTGTCTTAACACACGATGATAATGGCAGTTAAACAAAATTCTTCACACCTACGGAGAGAGGTGACCAATGTCTCATTTAAATTCTTGGCACAGAAAAAACGGTAAACTCCATTAGATCTGGCCGCCGTTTCGTCCCAACGACCTTGAACAGCCGGACAAAAGGCGGTCATTCCGTATTTCAATTGCCAAAAGCAATAATTTAGCGTTCTCTGTTTCGTAGTGAACACGTCGACTATGTTGTTGCTCCGGAACTTGATCTGTGATCTCAATTGCTGTAGTAAACTTCAACGACATGTCGTCACAGGTAAATCTTACATACTTGCTGAGATGCAATACCAATACGCGCTCTCTAATGAAACCTTGAATTCAATATATAGGGCTCTAAATGTCCAATACCATTGAGGCTTGTCGAGATTTACACCTTTCGCGCTTCTGTCTTGACCTCATGAGCATATTTCTGACACATTGTACTGTTTATCATATCGGCACATCATCTCTGTTGAGAAAATCTAGGCAAAATTGATGGGTATATCGATTTGAGATTCTGCAGATAAGTGAATAGCTATTCACATAACCAAACTAGTTTTGCTAAATAATATGAAGGATTTAACACCGATTTCCAGGGTTTCATATACAAATGAGATTCAATTAGTATATTTATAAAACAGGAAACAACACCTTTATAGTCGAAGGATACCAACCCAGTCAAATCAGGGGTCAGAAATGGAGGGTTCGAAGACATATTTGAAAAGCTATCGGTATGTCGAGAAGCCCTCAGTCTAAGCTGGCCAGGAGTAGCATGGAGTAGCCATATATGATCTGGTGCAGATGTATGGCAGAGTGCCTTCAGCTAATGTGTGTCCAGTAAAACCATTGAGATCAGCATCAACGTTGAAGGTTTACGAAACTATTTTGGAGATTTATTTGCCGCGTAATGTCAACTGGCAGATACAAATGGAACGAAGTTATAGTATTATTGAAAAAATATCTGTACTAAACCTCTCCGCCGTTGAATCAGAATCACTAGCTACTGTAACATAATAAAAATATCACTGGAAATAGACTGTCCAAATTTATTTCAGTGAAATTAATCCGATATCGAACTAGACTATTTGAATTTAAGTGAATTCATACTGTCCCGGGTACGTTTAGTTTGTGTGTTTCAAGCATTTATACACCATTATAGCGACCGGATGCGATCAACAGATAGACAGGAAACAGAAAAATGGAACATCAAAAGTATTCACTTGTAAGATAATCGAACTGATCACACAACTATGCACGAGTTTAGCAACGAAGCTGTTCAAATACATCCAACATTTGCACGCTTAGTAGAATGTAGTATTCGAAATTGGCACACAGTTATCTGTACTCATCATTTCCATTCTAAGTACCATAGGTTTACGTTAGCGAATGAAGTTATTTATGGTCACAGGTATTGCTCGGCGTAACAACACATAAAGCATATAAATTCGCCATCTAAGATAACAGCCACGAACTTAGTCCGATATAGCTCTGTTAAGCAATATGATGCCATTCATACATCGACCATTAGGAAAAGTCTATGGTTCAAACCGGACACTGTAGAAGTAAAACCATGTGACTCTTTGATGTGAACAAGGTGACATGTAATAAAGAGTCACGGCTCCAAAATGGTTACAAGAAAGAAAGTCTTGAAAAAGTCTCCGGACTAATGTTAGACGAAATCAAATATAGGGAAAGAGTGAGAAAGACTTCCATCACTTTAGTGTGCAGATTTATGGAACCGAAAAAATTATAGTGACTGTTTTAGTAAAACAAACACAACGAACACATCCTGATTTATTGAATTGCAGATGCAGTAAAATTGGCTTTACATACACTAACTGTCTGGAAAACTGAATAGAGATTGGCGTTCACAGCAAATTCGTTAATTTACATTCAACTATGGCAAGTGTATATCAGAAGTTCCGATATGTTCACTGGCGAAATCTCCGGGGCTTCAAAAGTAATCTGTTGCCGAACTTGCATCGAATGCAGTAAATTACCTAAAATACACATCGTTATGAGTAAAGTACGAGATAGATGAAGTTAAACCGGTTTTATTCAGCTACTTGAATACACCTCACATTGGGAAGTCAGGACAAAACAGAAACTGTCATCTAATACTTCATAAATGTAATCAGCGAAAGCTTTTACTTAGAGAGTACGCCTGAAACAATTTTATGGGACATAAATTTACATTAGACATGTTTAAGAAATCAGCAAGACAGAATAAGTAACACCTGTGTTTGCAGTTATTGATTTCATTACACATGGCCAACCCTGTACAACGGTGTTATAACCGTCACTCAGCCAGTTAATATAACCAGTGGAATGCTAGAGTTTCATTGTTATTCTTATCCACAAGGAATCAGCCTGGGAGAATACAACAAACTTTCAGATCGATCGATCAACACCGGGACGCTAAACGGCTAATTTACCTCGTGTACATAGCCGTCCCTTTCCGATTGCTGATGTGATGACAAGAGCTCACTATCGCGTCAACACTGGAGTGAAAGTAAGCGTTCTTTCTGTGAATTCTTGCGGCCTTCTGCACGAACTGGTTTTCAACTTATGGGTGGCAAACGGAGAACTTATCGCTTTATACGGTTAGATATAAGTTTATCCAAATATGACTTCACCCATTAAATGGATTTTCGTTGTTGTAAATGCTTCAATATCACTCATTGGTATGGGCTTGCTGCAACAACACATTCTGCTCATCGACTCAAGCAAACAGAGGTTAGTAGACGGCGATACCAAATTATCTGTTTGTGTAACTTCATCTTTTGGCAGCAGGTTATGCTCAGTCACGGCTAGGCATATAATTGACTCACACTTCCAACGGATACTCGAAAAGTTCTCCGGACCCTAACAAAGGTGATCAGAATTGCCGTGCCTGACCGGCAACATTATATACCAGATGTTTAAGTTTTTAGTCCAGGTATTCGAATAACCATCAAGCTCATGGCAAAATGATTTCCTCGACCTGGTATAAATAAAGGCGTTTATCTTGATTTGGTAGGACCATTACGAGATTCGACTGGACACTTTTTCCTCTTAACGTGAGCAGTCCTTTTCACACAATAGCCAGAAGCAGTACCGGTAAAGGACTACACCGCAGAAACTATGGCCCACGACTACCGCACGAAGGACACTGTTTGGCCGTTCGTTTTATCCCATTTGTTTGTATTGTTATGCCAAAAAATCGACATTTTTTGTAATATGCTCTCATATGTGCAGTTTTTCTGAAAAATTCAAGAAAAATCACTGCGCAAAAATATTTTCAAACTGTCGTACGTTATCTCTACACATGTATGCCAGCTTTTTCTTTTTGTTTGCTTTGTATCCTCACGTACTTACGAGTATATTTGGACTTACATTTTCATTTCACAGGATGAACAAACATTTTAACTGTTTACTTACTTCATTGTACAACGTGACCCCTTATATTAGTGAAAGACGACTTGATACTGCTGAACATAGTAGGCCATCAAAATAGTGTTGATCGGCTGGAAGCATTTCGGGTTTTATTCGTCTGGCTGTTCACAACTTAGTCATCACCATACCACAAGGGAAGGAGTGAGCCGCAGAGCTAAACAAACCCCGAAAATAAAGTCCCCGTAATTTAGTTGTTAATTTGTCACCAATGCATTCAACCACAATTTTTGAGGTCTCGTTCATCGTACTCACTTGAATCTTTTGGCTTTGTTTGTAGATTAATACTTATGCTGAAACACATTCATGAACATTTGTTTAAATATTCTAGTTTGACAAGGAATATCTTATTGTGAGGGATGAGAGGCTGATCATTGAACAACGTGCGAAATCTGTACTCATTTATTGACATTCACATATTGTCATGCTTGATCCACCTGACCATACAGAAAACTGCTTAGTCGTTGTAGAACAACTGATAATAAACACAGTTAGGTTAGATATTTTAAGTCACATAACAGCTTATATTGACTGGTTAAGAGTTGACCTCGAACAACTGAGTATATGTCTAAACAACAGAGTTCAAGTATTCATTGACTTCCTTATTTTGCATGGGCATTGTATTACCTATTATCTTATATTGAATGTTAAGAAGCTTTGTTTGTCTGAACAGGTAATCCTACGCTCCACTGTGACCGCACGAGGATCTAAATAAAGACTTATTCACTACTAGTTTAGTTTCTTTTATCAGTAGTACGACGGTCACCTACAGATACGAAAGTTTTTTGCCATTTGCTTAGTATGAAACATTTAAACTTTAGCACCTCATAAGGGGTTGGAAAGAAATTGTGTTGGTGATTCTTCTACTTAGTAGGATTTTGATTTATATCCCTCATAAAAAAGGACTTAAGTGAGTGGGCTATCATATTTCTTGTTAACCCGAATAAAGTAGAAGTTTGAAATAACACATATGTATGGCCACCCTATTTGTGAATACTATTAGTAATATGGCTTATTTTGGGCGTTATCGTCGCAAAGGCGAAGTTCTCTAAAAATAAGGAACCTCGTTAGTCTGTAGTGGTCTTAGTTCTAACCACAATCCTCAAGCCTGAACATGAGATAACTGGGAAAATAGACTCTCAACATGTAACACCAAGAGAAAGTCAATAATAGTGAACGCGGAAACATTAATTCGAAACCCAGTTAGTTGGTTGGCATGACTTAGCCTTGCAGACGTGTTCATTTTCGTGTAACTTATCACCTTTATTTACTGATCATAAACCTCTGACCTGCTCTTTAAACTCGTGTTCAGACAAGTACTCACCTCGTGAGTCTGGACAACTGGACTACATTTCGCATTTTGCTTCAGAAATACAACACATTTCTGGAGCAAACAATATAGTTGCAGATGCTTTGTCTCGTATAACTTCTTTAAACAGTTTCCAAGGTATCGACCGTCTAAAACTTGACCAGCTTCAAAAAGAAGACACTGATCTTCGGCACTAGTTATTGTCAACAGCCCTAAAATTGAGCATTAAGCAGATTGGAACAGGTAAGGAAACCTTGCTTTGTGACACATCTACGGGTAGGGATCGCCCAATCGTGCCGAAATGTTATCGACGCAGCGTCTACAATACGTTGCACAAACTTTCTCATCCAGGTGTTTGTGCAACCATCAAGCTCATAGCAGAGCGGTTTTGCTGGCCTGGTATGAATAAAGACGCGAGGGAGCGGGCGTGCTCCTGTATAAGCTGACAGAAATCTAAGGCGGTTGGAAAGCGGCATTGGGTCCTAACCACAAAATCCTCAAAGCTGAACAAGAGA